AATCGAGCGACTCGAGAGATCTGGCGAGGAGACAAAGAAGAATTTGACTGAGGCAGAGCAAAAACTAAAAACTGCCCTTGCCGACTATGATTTCGCGAAGGGCGAGATCGAGCTTCTGAGATCAGAGCTTAACAAGGTCAAAACAGTTGCTGAGGAACTCTAACGCAAAAATGAGTCTCTTTCCATACTGAAAGATCAAGATGTTCGCAAAATATCTCATGATGCTCGGAAAGAGGTTAAAGGAGCTGGGCAAAAGTTTCTTCTTGCTGTGCAAGAATTTATTTCTACGGATAAAGCTTGGAACAAACTTAAGTCCGAGCGTGATGAGATGAAGAGCAATCTTGATATGATCAAGGAGATAGAGGAAGGAACAATTAATTTGGCTGAAGAAAAGGAGACAGTTGGCGTTGAACTTGCTGAGACTGAAGCTAAGCTAGCTACTGCTCCTCAGCCATATTTGGATTTGCAGCAGTTTGCTTCTGAGTTCGTTGATTCCCCTCCATTGACCGAACCTAATACCGGTTTGTCTTTGGATGAGATGATGTTAACTGGTTCTCCTCATGCTCATTTTAATGAGTTCGGAACCAATGTTAACAAAATTTCTTCGGGTCAAACTCTGGGGTTCTCTGGTCAGGATCCTACTGTTTCGTCGATTATGGGAGATGACTTTGAATCGAGTAGCAAACCTCCTCAGGATGCTAGCTTGCTTAACCCTAAGGTGGTTCTCACAACTCAAGATGCTACCGCCGGGGGTGTCCCTCCCGTCTCAAGCCAAGTAGGAGGTGAATGATGGTGATTGCACTCACCTTTTATGGGGATTGTCCCTTTAATCTTAAGACATGAAATTTGCTTTGTTGGCCATGGGGCCGTTTATTACTCTTCGAGTTTTTTGCCCAAGGGGGCTTTATTACTGTTTTTTGAATAATTTGCCCAAGGGGGTTTTTAATTAAAATTTCTTTAGAAAAAAATATTTAATTTTGGTGGAAACCATCGATTTTACCTGGAGGGTTTGCAAAGTCCTCCTAACCGAAATGGTTTAGAATTACAGGAGAGATAGGCTGATCAGACCTACTTGCCTTTTTTAAAGAAAAAACATTAGAATTTTTCCTCGGTCTCTCAGTTGCGAGGTTAGAGCTCGGCTTATAAGAACACTTCGCGATACTTCAAATGTGTTCGATTAGAAAACTTTTCAGTGAGAACTGTTTTCTTTTCTTAGAAAAACAAAAAAGTATGATACCATTTATTGATTGTCTTTGAATTTCGCGTTCGAAATTAAGTTCGCCTGCTAAGTGTTAAGTAATACTTGAGTAACCTATATTTCGTAGGTCTTGTTTGTGCATGTACGCGAAAATGGAAAGGCCGTAACTGTCAGATCAATAGATTGACGTTTAACTTCCTTTTTCAATAAATACTCGAGTGTGTGCACTTATATATTTTTTTTTATATAAGGAGAGTAGGATTTTGGAAATTTTCCAATAAATATTTTCTTCTTAAGGAACTTTGCAGTTCTTCTTGTTTACGATGGCTTCTCCCCAAGGCGATCCTTCTGATCCTAATCCACCACGCTTCCCTTCGAATGAATCCCTGTTCCCGACGGGGGATGGATTTACTCCACATGGGGTGGCTATCCCTTGTTTTCTTTCTTCCTTGTCTAAGGAAGAAAAGATCGAGTGCCATGAATTCATGGAACATGTTTGAACTCGATACCAGTTATTTCAAGGTTTTGCTTGATAGATTTGTAATGTATCTGTTCTCTACAGATCACCGAAAGGTACGTTTTTCTCTGCTCCGAAAGGCAACGCCTTGGAAGAAAACGCCGTGACCTCGAGGATAGGATTGCTAGAATTGAAAGGAAGATCTGTCGTTTGGAGTCGGATGTTCACAACTGGGAGAGGAGGGGATTTGACTCTATCGCTCGCATTCCCCACTGTCTTCGAAAACACATCAGGTTTCTGAAGATGCATTGGGATATCTACCAAAAGAGCCTCGAACCCGACGAACGCGAAACCGGTTCATCCTCTGACGAAGTTCCTTCTGCAAACTCTCCTCCCTCTTAGTTATTATTATTATTTTGTAATAGACTATTGGGCTAGCGGCCTGGCAATATTAATTATATTTCCCCTTTCGCTTTAAATTTATCGATTTATTTCAATCTCATTTAATGCGTTAATCTAGGGAATATAATTAGCAATTAACTCGATTACATTTTCCATGAAGGTAGTAATTTCAGATTTGGGAAATCGTCAATTAACCCTCTTAAATGTGGTTGAGTATTTTTCGAGTATAAAGTGGGTGTAGTTTATCATTGAGTTTTATCAACAACAATGATAAGCGATGATCTTCCGGGAACGTCAGACATCGAGCTTGTAAAAACGGAAGGAACTGGTGAACTAGAAGAGTCACGTACATTAGGGTGGAGAACCAGCATTCAAGTTCCGATCGTGTTAATTGAGAGATTATAAGCTCAAGATCGTATCAAGGCTGAAGAATTTATTAACAAGGTATTGTTCAACCCGGTGTTTTGACTCCTTTTGTTATTGCTAACAAAGCGTTTTATTTTCCTCAACTTATCACTCGGCACAACGAGCTCGAAGGTGAGAAAATTGAGATTAGGAAAAGAAGAATGGAACTAGAGAAGCGTCGCCTCGATATTGCTCGCAAGCTTCATCGCCTCGAAGCCCACCCTTCCGATTGGATCGAGATAGGCCTCTAGGAGTGTGGATGTAGGATTCACACTCGATTGTCTTTAAGTATTTCAGTGGAGAAAAACTCTAAAATCAACGAATGAATATAAGGATTCGAAAGGGAAATTAACCAAGAAAAGAGTACAACAGAGGAAATGACAAGAACAAAGTACAAAAGGCCTTGCGAAATTGTAAGAGAAAAAAGTATGTTGTATTGCTTGGTAGTAATAAGTAAAAAGATGTCTCTCTCTTCAAACACATGCGTTTGAGGTTGTTTTTATAGAGAAAATATGATTAATGCGGCCATTTACTACTCGTAATCATATTGATCCGCATTAATCACATAAGTTACATTTTGACCGAAACGGCTTGAACTTGAATTGTCTTGGGCTTCACATGGGCCTTCCGAACTCTTTCTTGCTGACTCCGAACTCCCGTGCTTTGATGCTACTGCGAGCCTCGAACAATATTCTCCTCGCTTCGGCCTTTCTCTATGCGAACTGTATGTCGAATATAAGCGAACTCCATACTAGTAAAGATCGAACTCTTTTAGTAAACTGAATCGGACTCCCAACTGGTCAAGTCCAATAAAATATCTAGAAATCCGAGAGGATTATTGTGTAATAATGACGTGGACAGATCCAAGTGGATCCTACCGAAAATGTGTGGGATCCAACCCCAACATTTAGCCCCCCAAGTCTTGCGAGCCGAGTGCTCGGCTTGGAAGACTTAAGTAAATAGTAATTAATGACTCGAGATCTTTAACATTCTAGAATTTCTCCATGTTTTACGCTGTTACACCAATCTCGGATAATCAGATGATTTGATTTCCCTGACAACCGTCATCATTAATTTCTTAATTTTATATTAATACTGCGGGGAAAACTGTCCCGCTTCCCAATATTTCCGAGGCGGTTTTCCGCTAAATAGGGTTAAATGGAACGACGGCTTTTACAGCGTGCATTCACCCCAAAAAGCTTTTACCAAACCAGAGAAAGAGAAAACTTCTAGTAAAAAATGTCTTCCCCTGCGGTTTATGTCTCAGACAACGAGGATGATAGTCAGGGAATCCCCGTTCCCAGAGGGAACGAAGTCTTCTCCCAAAGTGGAGATAAATTCGGTCCGCATTTCAGGTCTCAATCGACCCATGCTTCCCTTGGCGCTCTTTGTCGCCTCTGCAACATCCCCAGGAAATAGAATTTTGCCTTCCTAAACCCAACCAGTCTCCGGAAATAGTACTAGAAGGTTACTGTTGTGCTTACGAAGTCTATTTCAAAGGTTGCGGTTTATTTTTTCCCATACCGGAAGTTCTCCTTTTGTACCTCCTCCATCTGGGGATTGCTTTTCCCCAAATGGCTCCCAACTTTCCTCGGTATGTCCTGAGTACCCTGACTGTTTCGGCAGAAGCATGGTTCTCTCTCACCACTAGCAAACTCTTAGGGCTATTTAGAGCCCGTGAATCCACAGCGGCGGGTATTTTTTCTATGAATCCCATCTTTGACCGTAACCTGATCGACGGAATGCCCTCGCATGATGGGCCTTGGAGGAAATACTGGTTCTTTTTCCGAGTAAATCCTCACTCCGTCCAAGGTCTTTCCAGTCTTCTTCTCTCAAATTGGTCGTCTAAACTTGGTTAGAATCAACCTTTATTATTTTTCACTGTATTGTGTGAAAGAAATAGAATTCTTAACTCAACACTTTATTTCAGGGAACCAAACCATCTCCCGTCCAACTGTTGATTTCTTGTCTTTCTTTCGAATCGTTTCCGAGAGTGAAACAAATTGGAATTCCTTCACCCTTCAACGTATTCATAATGCGGGGCTCGCTATCAAAGACGGTCAAACTCACCCCCTCGACCCTCCTCCTGAAGAGAAAGATGTCTCGAGCCTGAATGCTCGAGATAAAAGAAAAATCCATGCTGAGACTAAGGCTCTTAAGGATCAATTATCCGAAATTGGGAAAAAGAAGCGAATCGCTGCAATCTCCCGGGTTGGTAATTTCCACAGGAAGACCCTCTTGGTCGATGACGGTTCTTTGGAAGCAGCTTTGTCAATTGCGGTGGATTCTCACGGAGCTGAGATTCCTAACGACCCTCCAGTTGCTACCACCGTTTGCCCTTCCGCTCAAGAGAGAGAGAGAGAGAAGTTACTTCTTCTCCTCATACAAAGAGGAAAGCTCCATAATCGGATACTTTATCAAATGAGAAACTCAAAACCGTCAGATTTAGTTCTCCGTTACGAGCTCCTATCCCTTTGCATTCTGTTGACACTTCACCTGGATTTGGACTCTCTTTTTTCTAAACCAGCCAATGAAAATAGTCAATGGAAGTCTTTATTATTAAAGTAGACTGATGAGTTTAAACAACATATTTGTAGTATGATTACCATGTCTTCTGTTAGTCTAACCATTCCTTTGCGGCTAGTGGTGTGAGGAATCTGATTGCGCCTTCTTTCTTTATAGCTATCGCTCACAACCTAACATATTAAGTGTATTATGTAATCTACTATATCAGAAATAAACTTAGCTAATTCCAAATGAATACTTTGAATTCTTTGCTAGTTTTGAGCTTGACAAATTTTCGCCATTCAAATGGAGAAACATTCTTTGGACGCAGATTCATCCTTTGTTGGTTAGTCTTGGCTTCTCTAATCCGGGTAACAAGACGTGATTTCCATGACCTCCACAGACATCCCATCTGTTTAAGAAGTGCAGTCTTCTGGTACTCTTCATCTACCTCAAATCTTGCCTGCAATCATTTACAAAAAAAAAAAAGTCAATGGAAGTGCATTATCTGAAGACCAATATATGATTAAGTAAAGAGAGTAGATGGCAATGTTAAGCAAATCTTACTTGGACAGATTTCCATAGAATTGTCTTGATTTCTTTAGTTATTTTAGTCCAACGATCAAACGTGATAGGAACATGTTCCCGTACCAATGCGCCTACGTATGAAGACATCTTCACTGACCCTTTACCATAATGTTCTCCCATGTTAGTGTACTCTACTTGTACTCTGGTATTTGGATCCTTGGCAATGTCTTTCATGCGTGTTGGTCCTCACAGTCTCTTTCTCTTTCTACCAACAAGCTCAGGATCTTCAGAGAATTGTATCTCACCTTTAGGCTCTTCATCATTCAGAGCTTTGTCAGGCTCTTCTTCATTCAGCTCCTTATCTGGAACTTCTTCATTCAGCTCTGTTTCTTCATTCATCTCTGGCCTATCTTGTAATTGAGCTTCTGGTTCTTCCAAATTATCTGCCTCGTCTAGTACTTGATCTTCTGTTTCTACCAAATTATCCGGCCCATCTTCTACTTGAGCTTCTGTTTCTACCAAAATGCTCCGGCCCATCTTCTACTTGAGCTTCTGGTTCTACTGGTTCTGGTTCACGGGTACCCACATATTCTACCTCCTCATTATTCTTCTTAGATACTCTTCTTCTCTTTTTCTTTGGACGTCCCATTTTAACTCACCTGAAAAAATGAGAGAATAAATAGTTAATACATTTATGATTCAACAAATCAAAATGAGAGAAAAAAGACATCAAACAGACATCAGACAGATCACAGAACATATATGATACACACAAATCAAAATGAGAGAAAAAGAGTAAGAATGAGAGAACAAACAGACATCAGACATATCAACAAGCTCATCTAAAGGTAAAAATGATGAAGAAGCTACATTTCAAACATAAATTCCTTCACAATCAGTTCTCTCATTTTCTGCTTCATCCAAGTCATCACCCATGTCAATATTGGCTGGTAATGGACAAATGTCTGCAATTCCATCTTGAAAATCTTTCTGACTGAATCTCCTTGAAGGACCTCTCATAGCAACATACCAACTTGATGACTCGTTTTCCCTTGAGTAAAAAACTTGCTTTGCTTGAGAGGCTAATATATATGGATCCCTTGAAAAACTTACTTGACTATGATTAAGGTTAACAAGTGTGAAACCATCTTCTTCTTTTACTCCATTACCCTTCACTGCCCATGCACACCGGAATAAAGGAACATAGAACACATTATAGTCCAACAAGATAATATCAGTTACTCTCCCGTAGTAAGATACCAAATCCACCACTTGTGAAGTATCCTTAGCACTAGACCTACAGATTGCCGTAGCCTCATAAAAAACACCACTATTCTGACTTTTCCTATCTACTGAACTTGTGTGAAACCGCTGCCCATTGACTATATAACCTGTATATGACCGTGCATAACTACGTGGACCAAATGCCAACCATTTAAGTGTTTCGTCATGTCTGTTTGAATTAAGAGGTATCTAGCAATATGAAAGAAAATAAATGTCAGAAACTTAGCAAGAAAAATAGGACAGATCTTCAGATAAACTAATACTAACCTGTGCTTTTAGCCAAGAGGCAAAATTCTGATTATGCATACTCCATAATGTTGATGCATCACGTCTACATCTTCCATTTGAGTCTTGTAGATGTTGTAGATGTTCACTTATAAGTCAAGAAGAAAATAAGAAGGAATCAGATGTAGTAAATTCATATATAGAACTGTTAAATGAAATAGCTAGAAAACTGTGGAACTTACTCCACATAAGGATCAACCAAAGCCATATTCTGGATGACAGCCATATGGGCTATTTTCTTCTCCATTTCAGTGAGAGAAAATGTCTTCCCTGTAGATATAGGACGCCCCTCAAGAATAGAACTATTATCATACTCAGTGTTTCTGTCAACCTTCTCTTGAACATTTGTCGTCTTCTTCAAAAATTCATTACAAAACTGGATGCATTCTTCAGCAAGATAGCACTCAGCAATGCACCCCTCTGGTCTTGCAGTGTTTCTGACAAAGTGTTTCAGGACTTTCATATATCTCTCAAACGGGTACATCCATCTAAAATGAACCGGTCCACCTAGTCTAGCTTCCCTTCCTAGATGTACCGTCAAGTGTACCATGATATCAAAGAAACTTTGAGGGAAAAATCTTTCAAACATGCAGAGAGTTTCAACAACCTCAGCTTCCAATGTCAAAATGTGCTCCCTATCAATTACTCGCTGACACAAGTGGTTGAAGAATTAGCATAAGCGTACAATTGCTACCCTAGGACCTTTAGGTAACAAACCTCTAATTGCAATGGGAAGAAGCTGTTGCATTAGCACATGATAATCATGTGATTTCAGCCCTGTGATCTTACAGTTTTGTAATGATACGCCTCTTGATATGTTGGAGCAGTATCCATCTGGGCCTTTGAAGTCAAAAAGTCGCCAACAAAAAATCTTCTTTTCTGTCTTGGATAAAGACCACATTGCTGCAAGCAGGTAAGTCCTTTTTCTTTGGTTTTAGGGTGCAATTCCTTCCTAATTCCAAGCTCCTCCAGATCTTTACGAGCATTAAGACCATCCTTAGATTTGCCACAATGCAACAGTGTCGATACAATACTCGCAACCACATTTCTTTCCACATGCATCACATCTAAGTTATGTCTCATAGGGAGTTCCTAACCAACACACATATAAACAAAAGAAATATCAAACACAGATTATTGAGGAAATCTGGAAAAAAAAGTAGCTTGAAATAAAAAACAGAACACACCTCCCAATATTGTAGCTTGAAAAAGGTAGACCTTTTCTTCCATCTAGATAACTCATCCTCGTCTACTTCTACTTCTTCCTCTTCTTCTTCCTCTGACTCACTAGATAAATCCTCACTATCAGCTTCCAATCCAGTACACTCCATCCTCTTCCTCTTAGTTGCAGATTTTTTCAGATTTCCAAAATTGTTTTTGAAATTTCTCAGATTTACAGAATTTTCCCGACCACTTAATATTCTTCCTTTTCTTCTTGGTTCAGCTTTTCCATCAAACCATGACTCTATAACTATGTGTTGCTGGAAGACCCTTTCTATGACACATGTAGACATGTTTTCTACTGAACTTCAACCACATACTTTCTGTATTTTTTCCACATAAAGGACAGCCCATTTTGCTCTTTACCTTGCAGCCAGCAAGATTCCCATACGCAGGGAAATCGTTAATCGTCCAAAGCAGCATTGCCTTAAGAGTAAAAGTTGATTTACTATAGGCGTCATATGTCAACTCCCCATTGTCCCACAGATGGCATAGATCCTCTATGAGTGGTTCTAAGTAGATATCAATACTATTACCCGGCTGTTGTGGACCAGGAATTAACAATGTAAGCATGATGTTCTCCTTCTTCATGCATAAGTCAGGTGGCAGATTATAGTTTACTAACAAAACATGCCAGCAACTATACTTTGTATTCTTCATGTTGAATGGATTAAATCCATCTGTTGAAAGTCCAAGCCTCAGGTTCCTTTCTTCAGCTGCGAATGAAGGGTATTTGTCATTCATCTGGTCCCATGTGACTGAATCCACATGGTGACGGAGTTTTCCATCGTTGCTCTTGTTACTGAAATGCCACCTTAAATCCTTAGCCATTTCCTCAGACCTATACATTCTCTTCAGCCTTGGAATTATCGGAAAATACCTTAGAACTTTCTGTGGGACACCTTTCTTTAATTCACCATTGTGCATATTAGTCTTCCATCTTGATGCCTTGCATTTAGGACAGTTCTCTAGCATCTTGTACTTCTTTCTGAATAGGCAGCAATCATTGACACATGCATGAATCTTCTCGTAACTCATATCAAAGGATTTCAAAAATTTCTTCACCTCGTATAGTGATGTGTGCAGCACATTATCCGCTGGTAACAACTCCGGAAGTGTCTCTAGGAGTTCATTGAAGATCTTGTCAAACCAGCCATTCTTTGTCTTAAGTCTGAAAAGTGATACAATAGCCGAAAGCTTGCTATGGTTGAGACAACTTGGATATAGTGGTGTTTCAGCATCTGCAAGCTTCGCAAGAAATTCATCTTCTTCCTTGTCCAAACCCTCTGCAATCTCAACTTTGGAAGCAAACTCTTCATCCAAATATTCAGCTGCTTGATATAACCCAACAATTTCATCATTCCACTGACTTTGATTGATTTCACCTCCAACCACTGGATTCAATTCTCCATGATGATACCAATCAGACCGCATCTTGTAAGCCTCGTCCATTCCCCTTGTTACAAGATGATCAACTACAACACTGGCTGAGTGACGATCGATATTACGACAATCAATGCAAGGACATACAATCATATCAACGTCTCCCATTGCCGCACCCACAGTCCGTACAAATTTTGCAGCCCCTCTCTTATAAGCAGGATCAACTCTTCATAAAAGATGAAGAGTTAAAAGAGAAAGAAAAAAAAAAACAAGCAAAGTCCCCAAATTCCCTAATAAAACTAGCCTATATATAAAAAAATCTTACCCTTGTCCACCATTTTATAATCTAGCCGTAATTAAAACCTTTATTGATATAAGAACTTATTCAGATTTAATTAAAGAGTCTACACACATCACACAATAATATTTAATTAACAAATAAATCAAACTCAAATTTTAACTCAATCTATCAATATATATAACTCAATCTCAGACCAGATCAAAGCATACGTGATAAAAGAACTAAGTCAGATTTAATGAAATAGTCTAAACACATCACAGAACCACTTACTGTTCAGACTAATTAACAAATTAAGCAAACTCAAATTTTAACTCAATGTAAACAATATATATAACTCAATCTCAGACAAGATCAAAGCATATGTGATATAAAAACTTATTCAGATTTAATGAAAGAGTCTTCACACATCACAGGATCACTTAATATTCAGACTAATTAATAAATCAAACACAAATTTTATGCAGACAAACTAATCTGAGACCATATCAAAGCATATGTCAAACACATATAACCATATTTAAAACGATTAATCAAAGTGAAATATCTATTACCAATCACATAGCAAACACAGTAATGTACAAGACAAAGGAAAAGATGGTCTAACCTGTCGTGTAATAAGAGCCAAAGATAACCTTCAAATTCCCATTACTTCAAACAGCAACACTTGCAAAACAAAATGAGAGAATGAGTATATCTAGTTTCATGTGTTTGGTAATGCAAGAATGTGTTAGAAAAGCACTTAAAAGATCTAAAGATTCAGAAAACAGATCAATACAAAAAGTCAGAACTTACAAGACCAACCAATTGTATCCGACAATAACAGGAGTTACAAGATAATGTCTGTTTGAATGTTCTAAGTGTCGCAAATTTCAGAGAACAGATAAGTACAAAAACTCAGAACTTACTAACCCAACCAATTGTATCCGACAATAGCAGGAGTTACAAGATAATGTCAACTACAAGTTCAGAGAACATAACAAAAAAAAAACTGAATCTTGAAAGCTAAATTAGGCATTCTAGTTCTCCAGCTTCGACTAAATCAATCCACACAAACAAATTGTTCTAACTTAGCAAAAAACACGGGCATGCAAAAAAGAAAAACTTTGAAGTATCGAATCAGAGAAAACCCATAAATCCAACCGTAAAGAAACGATAATTACACAAAATCTTTGTCTAGATTCACGACAGCTAAAAGAAAACAAACCAGATTAAAGAAAAAGAAGAAATAAATCAACTGATTCGGAGAGACATGCCTTAGATTTGAGCTAAACACCGACAGGGAGAGAGAGAGATGGGCGGAATTAGGGCCGACGCGACAAGTTCAGTGTCCCGGCTACCTTCAACGACGGAGGCGGCAAGTTTAATCGGTGGCTACGGGAATCGATTTCGCGGATTGAGAGAGTTTGAGATTCTTAGGGTTTTTCGATAAAGAGGGGAAAAAGATAAGACTGAAGGCAAAAAGTGTAAATTTTGTCTAAGTGTTTCGCGGACTAAGCGATTTAGTTTCCCGCTATAGTGAAATTCTATCATAGCGTTACTTAAACGCTATTATATAAAAACAAAAACTACACCAGATCTTCAATAGCAGTTGAGTAAACCGTGCTATAACATTATGCTATCAATGTGGACTTTTTTTGTAGTGAACCGGTAAATCTTCTTATTCTCCGTTTCTCAACTTATTTTTCTCAACTTATTCAGGCAACGACGCATATATCGATGCGTTAAGATTGGATTCGCTAAGTACTCTAAGTCCTGTTACTCAACTATCGCAGGCAACAACACGAAGGATTGGTAACACTATGTTCGAAGTTAGGTTTACCCAGTTAGGGCTCCTAACCTCTTGGATCAGCCGCTGGGTAGCGAACCTAACTATGGTGCATTAAGTAAAAGTTGTCCCAGAAGAATTACTAAGAGAAAGTAACCTGAGATCCAAGAACTAAATGAATCAATACGATAATCCCATCGACAAAACCCTAGATCTATTACAAAGAAACTAATCGAATAAGAAGAGATGAAAGAAAAGAAAAAACGAAATCATAAACTTAAATATAGAAGTAAGAGGGTTAAGAATACTCATCTATGAGGTACAAAGAGAAGGATTCGTCTCCCTTGAAGCAATAAAATGAAGAACAACAAGGAAACTATGAAAGAAAAGTGTTTAGATCTATGGTGAAAGTGAAAGGGAGAACTTGTTGGGGTCGGATCCCACACATTATCAGTAGGATCCACTTGGATCTGTCCACATCATTATTACATAATAATCCTCACGGATTTCTAGATATTTTATTGGACTTGACCAGTTGGGAGTTCGATTCAGTTTACTAAAAGAGCTCGATCTTTACCAGTATGGAGTTCGCTCTTATTCAACATACAAATCGCATAGAGAAAGGCCGAAGCGAGGAGAATATTGTTCGAGGCTCGCAGTAGCATCAAAGCACGGGAGTTCGGAGTCAGCAAGAATGAGTTTGGAAGGCCCATGTGAAGCCCAAGACAGTTCAAGTTCAAGCCGTTTCGGTCAAAATGTAACTTATATGATTAATGCGGATCAATATGATTACGAGTAGTAAATAACCGCATTAATCATGTTTTCTCTATAAAAACAACCTCAAACACATGTGTTTGGAGGAGGCATCTTTTTACTCACTATTACTAAGCAATACAACATACTTTTTACTCTTACAATTTCGCAAGGCCTTTTGTATTTCGTTCTTATCAAATTCCTTTACTTTATTCTTTTCTTGGTTAATTTCCCTTTCAAATTCTCATATTCATTCGTTGATTTTAAGAGTTTTTCTCCACTAAAAATACCTAATGACAATTGAGTGTGAATCCTACATCCACATTTTGGCGCCGCCTGTGGGAAGTTACCACAAAACTCTCTAATCTCAAAATCCTTCTTTCCCAACCAAGAAACTATGGCTGATCAGCAAGCTTTGAGCGATGCAATTACCTTGCTTAATCAGACAACCACTAATCTGACCACTCAGATCAGTACACTTGTTGAAGCCAACACCACTTTTAGTGAGAGGTTGAATTCAAATGAGCAAATTTTGACGAGTGTTCAAACCACTCAGGCAGATTTGTCAAACGCGCAGAACGTTGTTTCAAGCCGTTTAGATACTTTGCCTTCAGTAGCAGCGCGTCAGCGTAGGCTATTCGTAACTCACGCACAAAACAGGACCGGGAATACTCAAACTCCTCCTGTAGGCCAACCCGCTAGTACTAGCAATCAGGCAGCCGTAGGGGGTGGGACTAACCCAACCGGGGAAGTAATTCCCCAGGATCAGGAAAATCCTGCTATTGACGACGGATTCCTTATGGAAGATCCGCATGTCACCTTTTCAGATGATTTCGGCAAAGTTCGTCGAGAGCTTGATGAAATGAAGTCGAAGTTTCATCAGGCGACCAGTTCGGCGCCTGAGATCGATCGAGTAATCGAAGAAACTTGGCGAACACCGTTCACTTCGAGAATCTCGAACCTTCAGATCAAGGATTCTCGAAAGGTCAAATACCAACTTATGATGGTAAAGGAGATCCTAAAAATCACCTCGCTGCTTTTCAGATCGCTGCTGGCAGAATCGATCTAGAACCATATGAGGAAGATGCCGGATATTGCAAACTATTCTCCGAGAATCTATCCGGATCGGCCCTGCTATGGTTCACTCAGTTGGAGCCTGGAACTATTGATAGTTTTAAGGAATTGTCCTCTGCATTCCTAAAACAGTATTCCATGTTCATGGAAAAGGCAACTTCTGATGCAGATCCTTGGAATTTAACCCAAGGTCAGAATGAACCACTTCGCAAATATATCGCTAAATTCAAAGAAGTGATAGCCAAAATTCCTAGGGTATCGCACGCCGCTGCCCTTTCTGCTTTAAGGAACGGACTCTGGCATGAATCCCGATTTCGGGAAGAAATCATCATCAATCGTCCAAGCACCATCCAAGATGCTTTATTCAGAGCTACTAATTGGATGGAGGCAGAAGAAGAAAAGCTTAGCCTCGCTAAAAAACATCGGCCAGCAAAATTGGTCGTTGGAAATCCAACTAAAAAGTTCGAACCAAAAGATCAAAAACGGTTCGGAGTTAATCATGCAACTAATGCTGTAGGAAAACCCTCCCCAAGCATAGGAAGATACAATCCTCCTAATACTTGGGTTAGAGATGAGAGTGCCTATTGCGATATTCACAAAGTAAACGGGCACTCCACCAAAGATTGTAGCGTACTCAAAAATCACCTCACCGAACTGTGGGCAGCTGGAGAGCTCGCTAATTTCAATATCGAGGAATTTGTGGAATCTTATCACAAAGAAAAAGAAGATTCCGAAACTTCTAATCCTCCTGAAAAGAAACATAAGCCCAATGGGCCCGGAACTCCGAACACTCCTAAGAAAAGGATCGATGTTATAATGGGAGGATCCAAGTTATGCCGAGATTCGATCAGATCAATCAAAAGGCACAAGAAATCAGCAGCAATCCAAACCGCTGTGGGTTTTCAGTCAAATGAACAAACACCTTCTATCTCTTTTGACAATTCGGACACTCAAGGATTAACAAGACCTCACGATGATGCTCTTGTGATAACTTTAGATGTTGCGAATTTCGAAGTGACAAGGTGCCTAATTGATACTGGAAGCTCGGTAGATCTCATATTTCTTGTCGGTCCACGAGCACCATTGGTAGCTTTCACGAGTGACACATCTATGTCCTTAGGAAACATAAAACTACCAGTACTCGCCGCAGGGATTCCAAAGATCGTAGAATTATATTCATTGTTTTCGACCGACCGGCCGCTTACAACATAATTCTCAGAACTCCGTGGATATACCAAATGAAGGCTATACCTTCAACTTATCACCAATGCGTGAAATTTCCGACTCCTAGAGGAATTTGAACCATTCGAGGAGAT